GTGATGAGACTGTAGCTGATTGTATGATAACATGTCACAGACAGCAGATGCAATATAATAAAGAGTGATCTCAAAGTAGCAGACTTACACATAAGTCAGATCACAGAAGAAACAGAAATTCAGAGTTGAATTTAACTGTTTACATCAGTTTAATCACAGAGATTACAGAGAATGAACTATCTGAAACATTCACAGATACATGAGATCAAGCTATCTCAATCTCTGAGAACACTTAGAGATTGAGTTAGATTAGTTTCAATGAGCTGTTTACTGTAGTGATCTGAGCAGGTGAAGAGAGACAGTATAATATATAAGACAGAATTACAAAAGATGAAAGCTGCTGAATCTAGTCACTGAACACTGTATTATATAGAGGTTGTGTAAGAGTAGTGACTAGCAGATAAAGAAAAAGCATAAGAAAAGAGATAATAAATTAATCACTAATTATAAGAATCAGCTGTAAAAGACAAATGTTATTATACACATCTTATTCATTTTCATATATTACACATTTAATCTATTTCCAACATCATGCCACCTGAAAAATGTCAAAAACAAAGAAAATCTTAAAACTCAAGATTCATAAGAGATTTGAGAGCTGCAACTCACTCTTATAATAGTATTATACACATCTCTGATTTCTCTATCACTCTGTGTACAACATTAATGTCATTTATCACAAGATTGACTGAAATACTAATATAGAAATGTGTACGCGTACATGTAGAAAAATTGAAGAAAAGCACAGAACTTACAGAATCAGAAGTCAGAGCAGAAGAAGCAGAGACAGAAGAAATGAAAGAGAGAGATGCAGAACTGAATAAATGATAAGAGCTACTCAGAGTTAAATACTTATAATCTGATATGCACACAACCTTCTCTGCAGAGAAGAAAGAGAAAGTAATAGAAGAAGCTTGAGAGCAGAAGAGAGTAGTCTTAGTAGTATTATCATCTTCAATTAAAATGACCTCTGACACCAGAGTAACTAAGAACTATTATTAGTATACAAAACTGTAAAAAGCAGAGATAACAATTACTGAATAAACACTCACTGACCTTAGAATTGTATATACAATTTCAACACATACAAGGCTTCTCAGAAAGAGAGAGAGAGATATGAGAGAATGTAGAAAGTAGAACACAGTATATAAACAGCTCATTCTCATAATAACATTTCAGATAAGACATACAAGTCTCATACCTGCAGATGAAAAGAGTATAATATTCACATTTCTGTTCTTAAAAACACTGATATTCTTCACCTGCATCATGAAGTCAGACAATAAATATCAGAGAATAGATTAATACAGATTAATCATACTGAAGATATTCATTAGAGCAGATGTATCTGCAATATTAAATTTAATAGTTGTGAAAAGTTTCTTGATATCTGTGAATGTCATAACTTCATGTATAATAAAACTTATAACAATTTCCTCTAAGAATAGGAAAATCAGTATCAGAAAGAAAAGATAAAAAGAAAAAGACTTATAATCTCAATACTATTAAGAGAGAGAATGATTCTCTGAAATGAATGAATAATTATCTTATCATAAATATTTAAAATAAATATAATAATCAGTGTTCATGACTGAGCTTCAGATAGTTATATTATACATCATCTTCATATAATAAATCATTCTAGAAATTGATAAGAAGAGTGAGAGTATACACACTGAGAAATATGATTCACTGAGTCTACACAATATCTTCTTGAAACAGGAAGAGCTAGTAACAAAGGCAGTGACAGAAGCAGAAGTAGCAGGAGTAAGAATCACAGAAACAGAGATAGCAGAAGTGAGAGAATCAGACACAGAGATAAGTGTAGAAGATTGAGAGAGAGTAGCAGAGAAAGAAGTAGCAGAAGAAGCAGAAGAAAATGCAAGAGACTCAGTTATATATGATACAGATAATTTCTTCATTATCATATTCTTTAAGTTCTTAATCAATGATTCAATACTGAGTTCACTATTATTAGCAGATGCAGATCTGTCAACATATAAAGATTCTATATAAATAAAAACAACATATCAGTATCTGCATTTATATAAAATTATGTTAGAAAACATGATCAGAAACTCACTGAGAAGAAAACAGTTGAGAGTGTATAAGAAGATGAAGAAGATATACTATTTATAATAGTACATTCTGACAATTGTTAGAAGATAAACAAGTTCTGATCACATTTCATAATATATTACACTTACTGCTAATAAACTGTCTGATATGAGTACTACAAGAACACTTGTTATAAGAACAGAGAGTTATCATCAGAAATGTGTATAATATGATAGATAAACAGATGAAAAGAGTTGAGTAGAAGAAGAGATAGAAATCTTGAATGAGATGATAATATTCAATGATGATAATGATGAAGATGATGATTGAAGAATGAGAAAAGTTAGAGAATGAGTGATATAATATAGTGAAAGTTTCTTTGTGAGAATATATACAGAACACTAGTCAAATCAGAAATAGATCACACAATCACAAAACACTAGTGATGAGCTAATTCACATGAAGCTAGAATATATGATATAATCATATAAGTGTGACTGAATCTGATGAGGGAGGATGTGGTTTGAAAGAATGTATGACTGTCAGATAATAACGCGGCCGCTTTCAAACTACTAGTGTATGAATGTAAAGAGGGCCATAGCGGCCACTAATTAATTTAGCATACGATATTACAATATAAGAAGCCGGCGTACGCCTGTAATCATACGCTGGCTTAAGCAACCTTTGAATCACAAAAGAATGTACAACTGTCAGATAATAACACAGCCGCTTCTGAACTAGTGTATGAGTGTAAAGAGAGTCATAGCAGCCACTAATTAATTTAGTGTATGATATTACAATATATAAGAAGCCGGCGTACACCTGTAATCGTACGCTGGCTAAAGCAACCTTTGAATCACATCTTCTCACATAACAAGTATGCAACTTAAATCAGTTAATAAAGAGTGTAAAAAAGAATTAAGTATTAATAAAAGCTCTTCAGTCACTGAAAAAGTAATTCTTAAAAAAATGTGAAATTATAATAGAAAATAACTCTGCTTTTAATTCTTTGTAAGAATATTATATAAAACTCAGAGAAAAACATCTTACTTTTTCAAGAGAAGTAAAAAACTAATTCTAAAATTCTTTTTTTTTTGCATTAACTGCTACAGAAGAATGAGATAGAAACTGCTAAGATATATACTACTATATACTCTCTATCAAGACTTTTTATCTTCAGAGTCTTGATATTATAGAGAATATAAGTCTGTTTCTATATAATAATATAAATATTATCAGCAGAATGTAGAGAAACTGATTATTTATGTTTTAAAATAGAAGACTTTATCAATAATTATATTAATATAGAGTTAATTTATAAATTTAATAGAAATTTAGTGTTTCTGTTCTCAATCTCTTACAGAATTTATTAAATATTAAGATATTAAAACTAGATTTAATATATCTCACTATATAGAAATCAAAGACTCAGTCAGATCTTGAGATATACTGATTTTATAGTTATTATTATCTATCAGATATGTATTGAATACTGTTAATAAGATATCTTTTTATATCTTTCTACTGAAGATAGATTAGGTTAAATGAGATAATATATAAGTAAGACTTGATATTGATGTCTTAATATATTAAAGACAGACAGAGTTTTCACAGAGATTATACTTCAGATATATCTGTTAATTATATATTTAATATTATTACTGAGATATCTTTTTATATTTTTCTATCAGAGATAAGTCAGATTGAGAAAAGTAGTATGTGAGTGAGACTTAGCAATGTTAGCATTGATGTTTTTAAACATCAAAGATAGACAGGGTTTTCACAGATTACTCTTCAGATATCTTCACAATTACAGGTCAGAAATTCTTTAAAATTAACAAGATTGATGCATATGACTAGGTCTCTTCATCTTACAATTTGCATGACAATTTGACCTGAGGTTGTGATGTGATAGAGATGAATAATGAATAATTTCACACAGAAGTTTTGAATAATATCTAGTTTATATTTGACTGAATAACTTCATTATCACACGGGGTATACAGTCAGTAATAAGGTCAAAATACTTGTATGATTGAGAGCTTTTTGATGAATCTATCAGCGGGTTCTTATTCAAAAAATTGAGTGAGTTTGTAATAAAGCAGTTGATAAGAATAATTCTTTTAATAAATTACAAGTAAAATATTGAAAATTCTTGAAATTTTGAATTTTAAAAAATAATTTATTAAATATAAATATATTTAAATAATTTAATATAATAATTTATTTAAATTACAATTTTAAAGTATAAATAATACATAGTTATTAAAAAAATAATATTTTAAAATATAAAATTTTATATAAAATTCTAAATAAATAAATAATAAATAAGAATTTTAAGATAAAATTTTACATTTTATTAAAGATATATATAATCTATAAGATATTTAATTTTTATATAAAAACAATTCATATTTATAAATATATTAATAAATATAAACTGTGTATTTTATTTTAAAATAGTATTTTAAAAAGTGTAATAGATTAATAATTGTATATTATTTTCTTATACAAATTTAATATAATATAATATATATCTACAAATTATTATTCTGTTTTTTAGAATAGTTTTAAATGAATATTCATTGAGATATGATCATTTGAAGTTGATTGTAATTGATTTACAAAGGCGAGTGTTAGCTGGAAACAAGCGTTAGGTGGTTGATTACATTAATAATCTAGCTAGTTTCTCCCCGATTAACACTAGCTTGTATGTTCTCGCCCCAAGCTTCTAGGCACTTCATATGTCATCTCTCAAGCCCATGCCCCGAGACCTCATCATCGACCTCGCCTCGTGCAACTTATCAGGCTCCCAGGCAAAGCTAACGATCATATTTAAACTAAGCTTGCTATTGATTTTGCTATAGTCATGATTCGGATATTGTCTTCCTCTACCAACTGTGTCCGTGCCGGCTGCTCGAGTCAGCTCCGTCCATTTGATCATGACCTCGAACCTCATTTCCCGCTTCCTCCCCGCCAATAGTACCACCTCGCCCTCCATCTATGAAACTATACAACAGTACGACAAGAATTCGGACTCTTCTGATATTGAGGAACGGGCGGGGATGTCACTGGACGAAGAGAACCTTAGAGGTCCCTATGAGGACTATGAGTTAGAAGAAGCGTTGGCAACAGCCTCAGACACCCAGTCAACGACTCAAAGCACACTGTCCCTACAACAGCCCCCCCGCAAGGCTCCTCAAGGGTTTCCAGGGAAGTCCAAAACTCCACGTAAAGCTAATCGCCATAAATGGACACTCTCATCCCCGAGACCGATGGAAGACGATAGAGATGATGATGACGTTCCTGCTTCGTTGCTAGTGGAAGGGGATGACGATGACGTTGGCACACAGGGCCTCGCTGCTCCCCCTCCCCATCGTCCTCCGAACCGCAACATCCATGATAATGATGATCCTCTTCCATTATCGACGCAAGGCACTCGAAATCGCTGGGATAGCGCGAGAGCACATCAGCCCATACACCCTATACCCCCTAGAATAGTTCCCGCTCCTCCTCGAGCTGGCGGCCAGCGTCGGGGTCTGGCATTCGTTGACCCAAAAGAAAAAGCTATGTGGAGATGGGCCAATGTTGAGAATTTGGATAATTTCCTAGCAGACGTGTATGACTATTTTCTAGGCAATGGGATAAAGTCCATTTTCTTAAGCCGGGTTTTGAACCTTTTGTTAGTGCGAGATTTTCATTTTCATCTCATCTAGTCCAACACCCAGACAAGCTGAAGTGGCTAACAGATTCTTAGGACCCTGGCATTCGTAGTAGGTTTTACAGTATTCCTAACCAGTTGCATCGATTATCGACGTGTACCCAACAGCAAAACCATGACGGAAATCGTTGTCCCCCAGTGCGTTCGGAAAATGTCCGCCTCCTCAACCCTCCTCCTATGGCTCTTTTCAATTTTCTGGATTTATCAAGCCGTTCGATACTTACTAGACCTGCGACGACTCTATCATTTGCACGATTTCTATCACTACCTTCTAGGTATTTCGGATACCGATATTCAAACGATATCATGGCAGGAGATTGTGAGTCGATTGATGGCACTTCGCGATTCAAATCCGTCAACCGCGGGAGCTGTGTCTGCGAGGAATAGGAAATTTTTGGGTAGCCAATCAAAACAACGAATGGACGCTCACGACATCGCCAACCGCTTGATGAGGAAGGACAATTACCTTATTGCACTTTTCAATAAGGATATCTTGGACCTGACGCTTCCGATTCCATTTCTCAGAAACCGACAACTTTTCTCACGGACTCTGGAATGGAACCTTCACTTTTGTATTTTGGATTATGTGTTCAACGATCAGGGTCAGGTCAGAACCTTATTTCTTAAAGACACTCATCGGAAGGCTTTGAGTGACGGATTAAGACGACGATTTCTCATTAGTGGACTTTTGAATATATTTATTGCCCCTTTTTTCCTCATCTACTTCATGATGCACTATTTTTTCCGCTATTTCAACGAATATCAAAAAAATCCTTCCCAAATTGGCTCGCGCCAATATACCCCATTAGCGGAGTGGAAATTTCGTGAATTTAACGAGCTGCGACATTTATTCCAACGCCGAATCAACATGTCCTACCCATTTGCGACTCGATATATCGACCAGTTCCCGAAGGACAAAATGGTCCAAATAGCACGCTTTGTTGGATTTATTGCTGGTGCATTGGCATCAGTTCTTGCACTCGCCTCCGTTGTCGATCCGGAGCTTTTCCTGGGCTTCGAAATATCCCACGATCGAACTGTACTATTCTATCTCGGTGTGACGGGAACAGTGTGGGCAGTGGCGCGAGGACTTGTACCTGAAGAGACCCTAGTCTTCGATCCCGAATTTGCTTTACGAGAGGTGATAGACTTCACTCATTATCAGCCAGCGCATTGGCAGGGCAAACTGCATAGCGACGAAGTAAAAGCAGAGTTCGCAATGCTCTACCAGATGAAAGTGCTCATCTTCCTTGAAGAGCTTCTCAGCATAATCTTCATACCGTTTGTGTTGTGGTTCAGTCTCCCAAAGTGCAGTGACCGGCTGATAGACTTTTTCCGCGAATTCACGGTACATGTGGATGGGCTTGGTTATGTTTGTTCATTTGCTGTGTTCGACTTTAAGAAAGGCACCAATGTCATTCCCCAAAATCAGGATACCCAACAAGGCGGTGCCCAAGATGCTGGTCAACGGGATCTTCGAAATGATTATTTTTCAACCAAAGATGGAAAGATGTTGGCGTCATACTATGGCTTTTTAGACAACTACGCCAACAATCCGCAACCAGGTGCTCCATATATCCACGCTCCAAACAGACGCCGTTTCCACCCTCCTCCTTCATTTCCTGCCCTAACATCCCCTCCTATGATGCCCGAGGCAAATTACATGGGCACTGGTCGACAATACCGATGGGACGCACAACAACGATCTGTTACCCGACCAAACATTGTAGGATCCCATGCCGGCGGGCACTCTATAACACCTCGAACTCCCAGGTTTGGTGTCCCGGCTGCAGCTGGTGCGCACAACTCACCACTCGCTTCAGTTCTTCTAGATCCGCATCACCAACCATCAACGTCAGGCTTCCGTCCGCAAAACCGAAACGTCGCACAATCCCAGTACCGTCCATCACGCCAGGCTCATCCCATGAACGATACAATTCGAGATGAAGATGAACCATCCGGTACCAGTCAGATTCTCCCAGGTCTTCACAGACATCCCTCCTCCAATATGACAACGGGATCTAGCGGTGCTGACGATAGTCGTATGGAGGAGTCTTGGCGGATGAATATCATCGATGGTGAGGGTGAAACTGATGAAGAAACGGAAAATGTCCAAGATGTCGTCGGGGGTGCGGGCGTACTTGGGTTGATCCATCAGTTCCAAAAAGTCAGCAATGATGGACGCGGTGGCGGGGCTGTCGGTATTTGAGTGGTAACTTCTATTCCCTGGTTTCATCCTTTCTTTAAGGCTCAGGCCACAGAAGACAACAGAGGAAGCTTCCTGGAATATGGTCTTATATGGTCTTATACTACCTTAGCCAACTCCCATATTCGTCTTACTCGTTCCACATATACTCTCCCACTCCCCGACTCGTACAATTCATTTTTCTCCCACCCCACTGCTCCTAGTCCTAGTTATTATACATAAATCCTATGTCCCCATTGTGCCTGCCATTGTGCCTGTTTATTTACTTTATATTTTAACGTGGGTAGCGTTGATGTTGGCTTTTTTTATTTTTTATTTTTATTTTTATTTATTTTTTTTCAATTTTGTATTGCCTGATTTATTTACGTTGAAACAGATTTTGGGATGGACAGCAATGAAAGGACAGTGTTGTGGTTCTATTCGAATTTTAGAGATTTATACATTTATAAACATATATATATGCCTCATAGGTATGGCTGTGGCTGTGGACATATGGTTTAAGAAATCATAATCAAGTCAGTCTATAAAGCATTTATATCTAGCGTGTGCTTTTAAAACCCATGCACAAACTACTGTAGCTCTTTATTCTGGCAGAGTCAAATAACACGTGTTGTTGTAGAATCCTGTCAAACTTTCTCAGGGTAAAGGGCCTGGACAGAATTTAACACAGGGCTGAAAGACGTCCTGAGTTTCTTCATCTGGTTTCCTCATTTTGTCTCGTGATCCTCATGTATCGCGCATATTTCATGGATAATTTCCTGATCGACAGCGCTAGTTAGTCAACCCAATATATTGTTTGTTCTTGGCGGCTGAACAGGCTGAGCCGCATCTCGGCGACATGTGCTTGAAATGAAACGGGAGGAGGAGCAACGAACAACAAGGGTCCAACGATTTCTATTTCTCGGCTTCACGTCAACTGCTATATTGATGTGCAATGGGCCGGCTAGCTGATCTTGAAGAATCTACCAGAGACATATCTTTCCTCTAGGTAATTAAGATAATTGACCGCCAGGGGCTCCTTTTCATCCTCTGGATGCCCGAGTCGACGACAGAGGAGGAGGACGACCTTACAGGCTGCCTCAACTTAATCAATAACATAATCTGCCTCCTGCTTTCATTATGCTTCGTCTCCGTCGATACAGAGTTTTTGTGGTCTTCGCCATCATCAGCGTTGTTGTCTTCGTTCATTTCTTTCGAATCCGTGATTGGTCTGGCCCCCCCACGCTCTCTAACGAACCTGTAGAAAAACAGAAGCCCCTTCCACCTCCAACGGCACCCCCGTCTCCTAATGGTTCGCCGGCCCTCCAGCAAACACCCGGCGTTGGGAATTCAAACGACCATGGCTTTGCACCGGAATCCAAAACAGCAATCCCTTCCTCTGACCCGCTACCCTCAGCTTCTCCAGTAGCGAAGCCCCCTGCAGCTCAGCCGTCCGTTCCTAGCTCTCCACAGAAGGAATCAACCAAACCACATCCACTGACAAAGCCACATTTTTCACCGTCGGAGGACGACGAGTTTGGATCTCCTGGTAAAGGGAGGGTGGAAGCTAACAACCCTGACAGTAGCGATGTCCGGTGGGAAAAACCACCCGAGCATTTCCCGGTTGCACCGGAGGACCTTATTAAACTTCCTCAGGGGATGCTCGAGACGCTGCCCAAGATCCAATTCGAATTTCCAGAAGAGTCCCCAGCAGATAAAGCCGATCGCGAGGCGAAACTGGCCGCGATCAAGCAATCGTTCAATCATTCGTGGACGAGCTATAAAGCAGAAGCATGGGGCCATGACGAGCTGCGTCCAGTTCTTGGCGGATACCGTAACCCATTCTCGGGATGGGGCGCCACGTTGGTCGATGGCTTGGATACGCTCTGGATAATGGGCATGGTGGATGAGTTTGAAGAGGCCGTAGAAGCGATCAACAAGATTGATTTTGCTACTAGCCCAAGGCAAGATATACCCCTCTTTGAGACTGTGATTCGCTACTTGGGCGGCCTTATTGGAGCTTATGACGTCTCGGGAGGTAAATATCAATGTCTAATCGATAAGGCTGTCGAACTTGCAGAGATATTGATTGGTGCATTCGATACTCCTAATCGAATGCCCGTTACGTACTACCATTGGGCACCGTAAGTTAACCGTCTTTAGCCCCTTTAACATTATTTGAACCATGACCTGTTCTCACACTAAATTGTGTTACAGGGCATATGCGTCACAACCGCAGCGTGCTAGTTCTAGGACTGTAACCGCGGAAATTGGAACCCTGTCGCTTGAATTCACTCGATTGACACAGATTACAAAGGAAGAGAAATACTACAATGCTGTTGCATGGATCACCAATGAGCTTGAAAAGTACCAGGAGAAGACGAAATTGCCTGGGCTATGGCCAACACATATAGATGCTTCCGGTTGCAAAAAGATTATGCGACTCGTAAAGCAGCCTGCGGAATTGCCTATTGGTTTAACGCCCCCTACAGTCCCTGAAGTTAAATTACCAGAGAGGCATATTCAGAAGCGGGAGGAAATGGACCCCATTCTGGTCGACGCAGAACCTGCAGATTACAACCTGAAGCCTGGTTCGCAGCCTCTGCCAACCCTTCGGGCGGAGCCAAGCTCCGACGATGACCAGTCTGCCAAAGGCAACCTCGAGTCTTCGAGTGAATATGATTGCAAAAACCAAGATCTTACATCCCCACCTAAGTTTCAAACAGATAGATTTACCCTTGGCGGGCTTGTAGACTCCGCTTACGAGTACTTGCCCAAACAATATGCACTTTTGGGTGGCCTCAATGAGCAGTACCGAACTATGTATGAGAAGTCCATGAATGCGGTCAGGAAATATCTTCTATTCAGACCTATGTTACCGGATAAACGAGACATTCTATTCATCGCATCTGCTATCGCGAGAGAGCCTGTGACTGAAAAGGACGATCTAATGCTCACATATGAAGGCTCTCACCTGGCTTGTTTTACAGGTGGCATGTTTGCTCTTGGTGCAAAGCTCTTTGGGATTGAAAGCGATCTAGACATTGCCGCTAAACTGACCGAAGGCTGTGTATGGGCATATGAATCTACCACGACAGGTATTATGCCGGAAAGTTTTGAAATGCTGCCTTGTGGATCTCTGGAACCCTGTGAATGGAATAAAACCAGATACTATGACGCTCTAGACCCGTACTTTGAAGAGCGAAAGTCGTATCATGACCAAATAGTCGCGGAACATGCTCAGCAGCTCGCAAAGTCCATGCGCTCCAACGAACCGGCGACCAGCTTTAAGTCTGACCCGCCGAAGCGACAATCCATTCCAGGAGCCCCCGGTGAGAAGCCAGACGCTCAGAAACTCGTCAAACGCCAGGACCTTGGCCCACCAAAGACTGCAGAAACCGCTGCTATCGCTACACCGGCAGTTATCCCCCCCTTTTGGAATGAGATAGATGTTCCCGCCTTTCTCTCCCATGCGGAGTTTGCCGAAGCAACTATTAAGGAAGATCGTCTACCGCCCGGAGTTTCCACAATCTCAGCGCGAAAATACATTCTTCGCCCTGAGGCGATCGAGTCGGTTTTTATCATGTATCGTATCACAGGAGATAACTCCTGGAGGCAGAAAGGATGGAATATGTTCCAAGCCGTTGAAGCTGCGACGAGAACGGACCTTGGGAATTCGGCTATTAAGGATGTCACGAGCAGGGTACCTATGTTCTTGAATGAGATGGAGTCGTTCTGGCTTGCGGAAACGCTCAAGTATTTCTATTTGCTGTTTAGTGATCCAGAGCTTGTTAGCTTGGATGAATATGTCCTGTAAGTTGATATTGCTCTATTTTTCCTTCTCGCCCCCCACCCTCTCCTCGGGACCTCCAAGCCCCTACAATTCTTTTTAAACCTTGCTAACCATATATTTTCCCCCTCTGTCTTTAGCAATACCGAAGCACACCCGCATAAACGCCCCTTGCCGTGACAGCTATCAAATCATAGCCACGATCCGAGATAATAAATAATACGACTGTCAACTCATTTCAAAATGTATATATACCTGTGTCCCGGCCTTACTTTGGCATATCGTCGAGTACCAGTGGACATTTGAATACGCTTCTCGCATTTTTGTGTTTTCATCCTCTGTTAATCTCTATCTCCTACACTATTGTCTTCGCTCGTTGCACCGCTTGTGTTAAATACTTCAGCTTATTTTTCCTGATATGTCGTATTTTTAGCTAGGATTTATATTTTTTATTGTTTAAATTGTTTTTATATAATTTTTAATTTTGTCTCAATTGATTTGTGTTCACAAAAATTATATAAAGCTGAATTTAGTGTTGGCCCTTACGGCCGTTGCGGTTAGCGATCCCACTAGATCACGTGACCCACCACTATATTATGTTCTTGTAGATAGATCTATCAATACAATCTTCAACTATTCTACAGGTTATAGTCTGAATAGCATGTTTTTTTAGAATGTTGTATCAACATTTTTTAACACAGATAGTTTATCTTTTTTGAAAAGACTCTCACTCTTTATTAGAGATATTTCATTTTCTCTGAATCTGCTAATCAGCAGATTCATATACTTTATATTTTTGAGAAAGTATATTCTTCATTGTGAAGAATATCACTTTTTTTTTTTTTTTTTTTTTTACACATCTAGAAGAAGCAGAGCTATCTTAATATAAGTGATACATCTGTTACTTCAGAGTTCAGCTTAAGATACAGAATTACATACTTCACTAGACAACTCATTGATAGAATAATCACTTATTATAAGAAGACTTCTGACTTACAAGATGAGACTGAGATCAGTTTTTATCAGAGTATGAAATTTGATAATAAGATAATGAAGAAACTTCAGAATAAAGAAAAATAGAGTTAATATTTATCTATAGAATCTGTTCATTTCAACTCTTTAAATTCTTCACTATCTCTTATCTCTGAAATGCTGACTTTTAATGATGATTTGAATCAATCTATCTATTACACTGCAGACAATCTTATAAATCTTATATAGATAATACTATAGAATTAAATAACTGTAGCTGAAATCACTTAACATCTCTCTATATCTATTTCTGTATAAAGAGACACTATAAGAGATGAGTTACAGAAATATTAGAAGAAAGTTAAATATATACTAGATATTAAATCAGTAACTATATTTAATAACTCTAATTATAAAGTCTGATATATTAATATATTAACTAATATAGAAGTTATTGATGAAATTAACATTCTATTGAGAACTTAATAAGAATTCTCTTTTATATATTATATTAACTCTGAGAAGTGAAGAATTCATTTTAAGTCTCTATATAGATGTATATTATCAAGTCTTATTAAAAACATTTGAATTACTATTAAAATTTGAAAAGCTGATAATACTGCAGCTCTGTAAGATAAGATTAATATTAAATATATAATATTACTGATAGAAGAATGAGTTAATATCTTTAAGAAATTAATGAAATTATAAGTTAAGAAGAATAATTATCTTACTTTTCAGAGATGTTTCTGCTATTTTATTATCTATTATAAGAAGCTCTGTCAGAGCACTGAGAATGTATATTATAATCTTTTTCTTAATAATCTGCAGAATTATCAAAGACTGTTTATTAAAATATATTTAAATAAGTTTTTCTTCACTGATCAGAGACTCATTGTCAATATTAATATTAATAATTTGATGAAGTAACTGATTAATTATACATCTAAGAAGATCACTATTAAATAGAAAAAGCAGTCTCAGACTGATTCTGTGACTGTGAAAAAGAACAAGAATAAAGATAAGAATAAAGATAAGAATAAAAGCATATCTGTATAAAAGTGCACTCACTGCAGAAGATATAAACATACTATTAATAGATATTTCATCTTACACTCTGATAAAAAGAAAAAGAAGAATGACAAGAAGAATGATAAGAAGAAAGAGAAGAAGAATGACTTTATAAGTTCTCAATCAGCAGTAAATGCAGTAATTACAAAGATTGAGTTCTATTTCTCTTTCACAGTCACTGAAAAATCATTCTCTAGATCTTGATATTTGAACACATGTATAAGTCTGAATATAACAGATAAGCTTTATTCTTTTTCAAATATCAAATCTTTTAATAATAATATCTCTGTTGATTCTGTAACTGAGAAAACTGAGTTTGTTAAGAAGATTGAAACTGTTATCTTGAAGATTAAGAGTAGTGATATTAACTTACAGAATGTTCACTATATTTCTAATATTACAGTTAATCTGCTCTCATTTACAAAGCTTGAAGATCAGAGATTTCAATTTACATTGTCTTTCACTATTTTCTTATTTTTCATTTACAGAGCTCTGAACAGTGTTATTTTTTATACAGTTCAGACTGCTCAGAATAACATATATAAGATTAATAAACAGAAGTTCAATGAGAATCTCAATTATTCAAATAAGACAGTCAAGTATATTGCAATGTCATATGAGTATGATTTTAACTGAAAAGTTGATCTTTCTGTGACTGCTACTACTACTGTTAATAATATCAGTTCTATGAACATGAGAACACAGATATCAAAGATATCAAAGACTCTTTTAAATTGATATTATAATCTTGATCACATTCACACTGATACTATAATTACTATGATCAAGAATTCTCATACTGAAGTCACAATTAAAGATTCTAAGACTAAGTTCTTTTATGAGAAATGTGTCAAGACAGGTATGACATGAGATTATTTAAAAACACTGATATCTAGATCTATTCAACTCATTGAGAAGGTTTATATTAATCTTATAGATGATAAATATACATTGAAAGACCTCTCTGATCATCTCTTAGAGTTTCACTAGAGAATTAAATACTGAATGCTTATCATCTATAATACAACCTGCTACTGTTAAGTATATTTTTTAAAGTTCAAGAATGAGGCTGTTCAATACTTTGAGTTGTGGCTCAGATTCATGAGTAATCTCAGATATACAGCTTCTGCTTTTCTACAGACTGATATTGATAATGTTTTCTGATTCACATGTATACACACAGTTATAAATTCATATGATATTAAATAAGAATTAACAGCATCACATTCATCACATCAGAATGATGTTTTCAAACATGAAATTCACACTATTATGAGACAGATTAGAGCTGCTCTTTTGAAAGACAATCTCTCTAAGAAGTTCTGAATAGATGTTCTAGAGACAGTGATTATAATAATCAATAATACTCTCACATTTACAGTTCTTTATAACTTGAAATTTTGATTCTCTACTGTGAAGACTTCTGTGATTCTAAGTTTATATAAGATTTCTTAGTGTGCACTTACAAATATCTCACTGAATATGAGGCATTTTCACTGATTAAGTGCAGAGGTTTTTATTCACTTGCATGAATCTCAGCAGCCTGTGAATAAGCTCTCTTTATATGCTGATTTCTATCATATCATTGAATTCAGTGATACATTGATATATCATCTATAACATTCTGAATCTGACAAGATTATTGTCAGTAGTGATGTGAGATTTCTGATTACTGAAAAATCAGAACTGATTGTCACATCTGTGACACTTATTAATAATGCTGATGAACTGAAACTTAATATTTATCTGATTGATGATGAAGATGCTTCTGACATTGATGATTCAAATTTCACATAATTGCAGTCTGTGAAATCACTGACTACTTACACTTTAAGCCTCATTACAGGCAATCTCCCGAAGTTCTACAAGAATGCCACATCTTGGTCAGAGAAGATAGAAGATTATTGAAAGAAGTTCATACAATGTGAGATTACTGACCTGAAAAGACACAATATATGAAGTTTAATCTATAAATCTGATATTCTGAGAAGTGAACTGATTACTTTAGACTGTTAAGTGTTTCTTAAGAAAGATAGACCTGTGAATCTGAATGCTGATTCTGATAATATTCTTAGAAAATCACATTGAGTGATTTATAATAACTGACTTAAGAAGAGTTCTAGAGAAGAGATCTACACTTCTGTTATCACTGATACTGTCAATTATATTCTTTTTGTAATAGCAGCACTTTGCAGTTGAATACTTCATTAAGTGAATATAGTAATAATATATCTGTATAAGCATCTCACTAAGAAGATCTATATAAGACAATTTATCAGATTTAAGACAGATTCACTGAAAACACTTATCTATATAATTGAGAATAGTCTATACAGTCTGAACTCTGTAATGAAGATCTGATATAATTACTTAACAGCTCTGTTGAGTAATCTTGAATTTACAGTCAGCACTCATGATTCAGTACTCTGATATTATATATTCAGATATCATCTCTATATGACAATCTATATTGATAATCTCAATATCATATTCAAAGCTTCTGAGAATGCTGATTGACTAGTGAGTATACTTAGTAAGAAATTGAAAGTCAAGAATCTACACCAGTCAATCAAGTATTTAAGTATGAAAATCAATTATTCAGACAAGAGAATTGATTTAATACATTATTAATATATTAAATATCTTGTTAAAGATTTCTATCTTAATAATGCAGCTATTATTAGAATATTAATGAAGAATGAATTCTACATTAATGATTCTTCTATATCTGAGAAAGAGACTGATTTCACAATTCAGTGATATTAATATAATATGAATTACTTACAATATCTTACAGTTAAAATATATTCTGATATCACTTATACTGTCTCACTACTTACTTAACAGAATATTAATTTAACATCTCAATGTTGAAAGACTCTATTATATATTATATATTATTTGAAAGAAATCATGAATCTGAGTATTTTCTACAGATGTAGTCTGTATGAGAGATCTGTTTCTATCAATCTTTTCATTCTCTCTGATTTTCTCAATGATTTCTATCTACTCTTCAGCTACTCAGATTCTGATTGAGCCGGCCTTTTGAATGATGATAGAAAATTAACATCTAACTATGTTTTTAAGCTCACAGACAGTCTGATTTCATAATGTTCAGTAAAGCAATCTTATATATC